AGCTCTTAATACAATTTATAAAATTAAGTGTGTTTTTACAAGTCTCATAATTCTCAAAAGTACATGGGTTTTACAAATAATATAGCTATGTACGCAACTGAAATATGGAAATATTTATTTCAATATAAAATATTGAAATATAAAACAAGAATTATTGGCCGGGCGCGGTGGCTCAAGCCTGTAATCCCAGCACTTTGGGAGGCCGAGGCGGGTGGATCACGAGGTCAAGAGATCAAGACCATCCTGGTCAACATGGTGAAACCCTGTCTCTACTAAAAATACAAAAAATTAGCTGGACATGGTGGTGTGTGCCTGTAATCCCAGCTACTCAGGAGGCTGAGGCAGGAGAATTGCCTGAACCCAGGCGGTGGTGGTTGCGGTGAGCCGAGATCGTGCCATTGCACTCCAGCCTGGGTAACATGAGTGAAACTCCGTCTCAAAAAAAAAAAAAAAAAAAAAAAAAGAATTATTTTAATGAGAATACTTACACACATTTTGTATGAATTTTAATATATTATTTATATACCATTGAGACAAGAAGTCAAAAGTTTACACATTTTTGAAAATTACAATATCGATATTACATCACCAAAGATTAAATGTGATTTCTACTATGTTATGTTGCACTTTAACTATTTTGTAGTTATTTTTGTTTATCTCAAACTAATTATTAAAATAAACATAGTTCCACAAGGATAAGAATTTGTCATGCTCCCTTGCTGCTCAACTGTTATTATAAGAAAAATTTAAACATAAAACAGTTAAAGGACTTATACCAAGGTCAATGACATGTAGATACATACATACATATAATGAATAGCAGTTTTATATTTGTAGATAGGAAGGTTGTAGCATTTGAAAGTAAATTTCAGGTATCATACAACTTTGGCCATAAATATTGTATCCTGTTGTTATTTATAATGTATTCACGTTTAATCCATTCTTCCCAAAAAAGAACTTATAAATTTACCTTGAGGGCCAAGATTTAACAATGTCTACATATTGTGCTTGTTTTTACATCATGCATTTATTTGAAAGCTTTCTAAACCTAAATATTTTACTCAACATTTTTCTCTACTATGATGATAATGTATTTTCCAAGGTATGTAAATTGTCTTACGGAATGCCTCACATTCTCAAGTGTTTGATTTCTTCACTCTGGTGTTGCCTAATTTTTTCCGCTATTATTGTCATTTGAAGTAAATTGGAAGGTACTCTTATAGGCATGTCTAGATGCAGTTTAAGTATTTTTGACAATAATATTTTATAAATGATGCCATATATATTACGTTACATTACTTAAGGCACTTACAATTTAAGGTTTCTCTGATAAATATGCTCATGGACAGGAAGAATCAACATTGTTAAAATGGCCATACCATCCAAAGCAATTTACAGATTCAATGCTATTTCTGTTAAACTAACAATGACATCCTTCACAGAATAAGAAAAAACTATTGTAAAATCCATACAGAATCAAAAAAGAGCTTGAATAGCCAAAACTATCCTAAGCAAAAAGAATAAAGCTGGAAGCATTACATTACCTAGCTTCAAACTATACTACAAGGCTACAGTAACCAAAACAGAATGGTACTGGTAAACAGACATATAGACCAATGGAACAGAATAAAGAGCTCAGAAATAATGCCACACACCTACAACCATCCGTTCTTTGATGAAGTAGAAAAAAACAAGTAATAGAGAAAGGACTCCCTATTGAATAAATGGCCCAGAGATAACTGGCTAGCCATATGCAGAAGATTAAAGCTGGACCCCTTCCTTATACCTATACAAAAATAAACTCAAAATGGATTAAATACTTAAATATAGAACATTAAACCTACAAAATGTCTTGGCAGATAATGTAGGGAATGCCATTTTGGTCACCTTACCTGGCAAAGATTCATGAGACAAAAATCAATTGCAACAAAAACAAAAATTAACAAATGAGACCTAATTGAACTAATGAGCTTTTTCATAGCAAAAGAAACTATCGGGAGAGTAAACAGAGAAGCTACTGAATAGAGAAAATATTTGCAAATTACACCTATGACAAAAGTATAATATCCAGAATCAATAAGGAACTTTAATCAACAAGCAAAAAGCAAACAAGGCCATTAAAAAGTGGGAAAAGACATGAACAAACACTTTTCAAAAGAAGACATAGATGCAACCAACTAGCATATGAAAAAAATGCTCAACCTCACTAATCATTAGAGAACTGTAAATTGAAACCACAGTAAGATACCATTTAACACCAGTCACAACGGCTATTACTAAAAAGTCAAAAAATAGCAGATGCTGGAGGGGTTGCAGAGAACAAGGAATACTTATACACTGTTGGTGAAAATATAAATTTGTTCAGCCATTGTGGAAAGCCATGTGGCAATTTCTCAAAGAACTCTAAGCAGAGTTACCATATTACCCAACAATCATATTATGGGGAATGTATTCAAAATAATATAAATCATTCTACCATAAAGACACATGAACATGTATGCTCATAACAGCACTATGTACAGTATCAAAGACATGGAATCAAACTAAATGTCCATCAATGGTAGACTAGATAAAGAAAATGTGGTACATATACGTCATGGAATACTACACAGTCATAAAAAAGAACAAGACTGTGTTCTTTACAGAAACATAGATAGAGCTGGAGGCCATTTCCCTTAGGAAACTAACACAGAAACAGAAAACCAAATGCTACATGTTTTCACTTATAAGTGGAAGCTAAACGTTGAACACATATGGATATGAAGAAGGGAATAACAAACACTGGGGCCTACTTGAGAGTGGAGGGAGGCAGGAGCATGAGAATCAAAAAAAGATGTACTGGGTATCATGCTTATTACATGGGTGGTGAAATAATCTGTACACCAAACTCCATGACATGCAATTTACCTACATAACAAACCTGCATATATATTACCAAATTTAAATAAAAGTTAAAAAAAACAGTTTAAGTTTGATCACATATTTAATGTTGCACGTATCAGATTTCTCAATCATAAAAGTATTTTATCTTTTGTGATTTTCAAGAAAAACAGTTGGGAATTAAGAATGACTTCTGTTTTCAAACAACATTTTACATAATAGTTTTAACATCAACTGATGTATGTTGTTGGAATTGAATAATTTATTAAAGTATTGCAGAAAAGGAATTTTTATTTTATTATGTCTCATTTATGTATTAGCTGGAATAATTCTTCTGTTAAAAAGACATTTTCTTTGTCAACTGAAAATATGATAAAATTTCTCTTAAAAAAGCAAAAAAGGCAAGGTAAATCAATGCTTATTTCTTTGTCAATTTTGTAAAAAGGAGTTAAGATAATAATTACCTGCCATAGTCTTGTCATAGATTTAAGAAATGTTCACTCTCTTTTTCTCTCCCTCTTTCTCTTTCTTCATATCTTTCACTCTTTCTAGGTGGATATGATTGTAGATACTATATATATATTTTTTGTGGATACCATGTCCTAAACGTGGGCAGTGGAAGCCTATTTAAGCTAACTGCTATAACCTTCAAACACACAACCATTAGACTGGGTTCTTCTTTTAAAGGGTAGGAATGCAGTTTTGTTACATGAATACATTGTGTAGGTGTAAAGTCTGACAGAACTTCTAGTGTAACCATCACCGAAACAATGTATATTGCATTCATTAATTTCTCATCCCTCACCCTCCTACCAGCTTTCTGCCCTTTCAAGTCTTCAGTGTCTGTTACTCTACACTCTGTCCATGTGTACACATTTTCAACTCCCACTTATAGATGAGAATATGTAGTAATGGACTTTCTGTTTGTGAGTTACTTCATTTAAAATAATGGCCTTCGCCGGGCGCCGTGGCTCACGCCTATAATCCCAGCACTTTGGGAAGCCAAGGCAGGCGGATCACGAGGTCAAGAGATCGAGACCATCCTGGTCATGGTGAAACCCTGCCTCTACTAAAAATACAAAAATTAGCCGGGCATGTGCCTTTGGTCCCAGCTACTCGGGAGGCTGAGGCGGAAGAATTTCTTGAACCCAGGAGGCAGAGGTTGCAGTGAGCCAAAATTGTGCCACTGCACTCCAGCCTGGTGACAGAGCAAGACTCTGAAAAAAGGCTTCCAGTTCCATCTATTGCTGCAAATAAAAAAAAATAAAAAAGATTTAATTCCTGTTTATGTCTAAATAGTTTTCTATTATATATATAACATTTCTTTATCCAAGAATCCATAATGGACAGTTAGATTGATTCTATATGTTTACTATTGTGAATACTGCTGTGGTAATCATACAAGTGTGGGTATCATTTTGATATAATGATGTCTTTCCTTTGGGTTGATACCCAGTAGTGGGATTAATGGATTGACTGGTAGTTCCTTTCATTTTATTTATTTATTTATTTATTTATTTATTTGAGACAGAGTCTTGCTTTGTTGCCTGTGCCACTGTGCAGTGGTGCAATCTTGGCTGACTGCAACATCTGCTCTTAGACTCAAGTGATTCTCCTGTCTCGGCCTCCCGAGTATCTGGGACTACCAGTGCTCACTACCAAGCCTGGATAATGTTTTTGTATTTTTATTAGAGATGGGGTTTCACCATGTTGGTAAGGCTGGTCTCAAACTCCTGACCTCAGGTGTGTTGGGATTAGAGGCTTGAGCTATCACACCAGATCTAACTGGTAGTTTTATCTGTAGTTCTTTGAGAAACCTCCATACTGTTTTCCATAGGATCTGTACCAATTTACATTCCCACCAGTGGTGCATAAGCATTCCTTTTTCTCCACATTCTTGCCAATATCTATTATTTTTTGACTTTTTAATAAAAGCTATTCTGACTGGTGTGACATGATAAGTCATTGTGGTTTTAACTTACATTTCTCTGGTAATTGGAGATGTCAAGCATTTTTTTCCTATGCTTGTTGACCATTTGTGTGTCGTCTTTTGAGAAATGTCGATTCATGTCCTTTGCCCACTTTTTAGAGGGGGTTATTTAACTTTTGCTGTTTTTGAGTTGTTTATGCTCCTTGTAAATTCTGGATATCAGTTTCCAGAAATATTTGCATAGTTTGCAAATATTTTCCTCCCATTCTACAACCTCCACCTTCCAGGCTCAAGTGATCCTCTTACCTCACCCTCCAGAGTAGCAGGGACTACAGGCACAAGCTGCCACACTGGGCTAATTTTTTACTACTGAAAATCAGTGATAAAGAGAGCATCTTGAAAACACTGAAAGTGGACAGACACATTACATACAGTAAACATTGATATGAATAATGGATTATCTCTTACAGAAATTATAGTAACATGAAGACAATAAAACATCATCTTTAAAGAACTACAAAGAAAAGGTTAAACCCACACTTTTATATTCAACAAAACATCCTTCAAAATAAAAATGAAATAGACATTTTCAGAGAAAGAAAAGTTGAGACTATATTGCCTATGAACCTGCCAAGTGCTATAATAGGGAATCTTTGCCCTTCCCCCAATTGCAACGTGTTTCTTATGTTGTATTCTAAAAGTTTCTTGATTTTAGGCTTATAATTCATCTGACATTAATTTTTTGTAAGTGGCATAAGAAAGGACTGTGGATAATTTTTTTTTCATTATATATATGAAATTATTCCAGCACTATAATTTAAAAGGATTTTCATTTTTCTTTGGTGACTTACTAAACTTTTAATTGACTATATAAATCTGGGTTTATACAATTTATTTCTGTTGTGGTCATAGAACATACTCTGCAAACATTCTTTTCATTTTCTTTTACTAGTCCGTTTTTTAAATTCAACTTTCTTTTTAAGCTCAGGACTACACAGGCAGGTTTGTTATACAGGTAAACTTGTGTCATGGGGATAGGTTGTACAGATTATTTCATCACACAGGCATTAATACGAGTGCCCATTAGTTATTTTTCATGATCCTCTCCCTCCTCCTCACCTCCACCTTCTGATATGCCTCAGTGTGTGTTGTTCCCCTCTATGTGTCCAGGTATTCTCACCATTTAGCTCCCAATTGTAAGTGAGAGCATGTGGTATTTGGTTTTCTGTTCCTGTATTAGTTTCCTAAGCACAGTGCTCTCCAGGTGCATCCATATTCCTGCAAAGAACATTAAATGGTTCTTGTTTATGGCTGCATAGTATTTTATGGTGTATATGTATCACATTTTCTTTATCAAGTCTATCATTGATGGGCATTTCGGTTGATTTCATGTTTTTACTATCATGAATAGTGCTGCAATGAACATATGTATGCACATGTCTTTATAATAGAACAATTTATATTTCCTTAGGTATATAATCAGTAAAGGGATTGCTGGGTTGAATGATATTTCTGTTTTTAGGTCTTTGAGGTATCACCACAATGGTTAAAATAATTTACATCCCTACAAACAGTGTATAAGCATTCCTTTTGCTCCATAACCTTGCCATCATCTTTATTTTTTGACTTTTTAATAATAACCATTCTGACAGGTATTATATGATATCTCATTGTGGCTTTGACTTTTATGACTCTAATAATCACTGGCTATTCATAACCTTGGCCCACTTTTTTTTTTTAAATTTGTGTAAGTTCCTTATAGGTGCTAGATACTAGACCTTTGTCAGATGCATAGTTTACAAACATTTTCTGCAGGTTGACTGTTCACACTGTTGCTGGATTTCTTTGCTGTGAAAAAGCTCAAGCTCTTTAGTTTAGTTAAATCCCTTTTGTCAATGTTTGCTTTTGTTGCAATTGATTTTGTTGTCTTCATTATAAAATATTTTTGCCCATGCCTAGGTCCAGAATCGTATTGTCTAGGTTGTCTTCCAGGGTTTTTATGGTTTTATCTTCTACATTTAAGTCTTTAATCCATCTTGAGTTATGTTAGCATATGGTGTAAGAAAGAAGACCAATTTCAATCTTTTGCATATGGCTACCCAGTAATCCCAACACCATTTATTGAACAGAAGATCCTTTCTCCATTGCTTATTTTTGTCAGGTGTTTCAAAGATCAGATAGTTGTAGGTGTGTAGCTTTATTTCTAGTTGTTCTATTCTGTTCCATTGATCTAGGTGTCTGTTTTTGTACCAGCATCACTCAGTTTTGACTACTGTAGCCCTGTAGTATAGTGTAAAGTTGCGTAGCATAATGCCTCCAGCTTCATTCTTTTGCTTATAGATTGCCTTGGCTATACTAACTCTTTTTTGATTCCATATCAATTTTTAAATAGTTTTATTTCTAGTTCTGTGAAGAATATCAATAGTAGTTTAACAAAATAGAATTGAATCTGTAAATTGCTTTCAGCAGTATAGCCATTTTAACGATATTGATTCTTTCCATCCAGTGGGCATGGGATGTTTTTCCATTTGTTCGTATTATTTCTGATTTCTCTTGAGAAATGTTTTGTAGTTCTCCTTGTAAAGAACTTTTCCCTCTCTGGTTAGTTTTATTCCTAAGTATTTTATTCCTTTTGTGGCAATTGTGAATGGGATTGCATTTCTGACTTGGCTCTCAGCCTGACTGTTGGTGTATAGAAATGCTAGTGATTTTTTGCACATTGATTTTGTATCCCAAGACTTTTGTATGATATGTCTACCAGCTTAATTGCTTTTGGGTTGAAACCATGGAGTTTTCTAGATATAAGATCGTGTCTTCTGTCAACACGGATAGTTTGACTTCCTCTCTTTTTATTTGGATGCATTTTATTTCTTTCTCTTGCCTAACTGCTCTGGCCAGGACTGTCAATGCTATGATGCATAGAAATGGTGAGAAAGGATGTTATTGAGCTGTTTTTTAAAGGGGAATATTTTGAGGTTTTGGTTATTCTACATGATATTGGCTGTGGGTTTGCCATCAATGACTCTTATTATTTTGAGATACGTTCCTTCAATAACTACTTTATTAAGTGTTTTTCAGATGAAATGGTGTTGAATTTTATTGAAAACCTCTTCTGAGTCTATCTAGATAATCATTTGGATGTGGTTTGGTCTTTAGTTCTGTTTGTGTGATGAATCACACTTACTGATTTGTGTGTGTAGAACCAACCTTGAAACCTAGGGATGAGGCTTACTTGATTGTAGTTGTTTAGGTTTCCGATGTGCTGCAATAACATACATAGGCTCAAAATAAAGAAATGGAGAAAAGCCTACCGATCAAATGGAAAACAGAAAAAAGAAAGGGTTGTAATCCTACTTTCTGAATTTGGACAGACTTTAAACCAACAAAGATCAAAAGAGACAAAGAAGAGTATTATGTAATGGTAAAAGGTTAAATTCAACAAGATCTAACTATCCTAAATACATATGCACCCAATAGGAGCATCCAGATCAATAAATCAATTTCTTAGGCACCATCAATGTGATTGAGGCTCTCACACAATAATAGTGGTAAACTTTAACAACTCAGTAACAATATTAGACAGATCATAGAGACAGAAAATTAAGAAAGATATTCAGGAACTGACCTCATTCAACACTGAATTAAATAGAGCTGATAGACATCTACAAAACTCTTCATCCTAAAACAGCAGAATACACATTCTTCTCATTGCCACATGGTGCTCTAAAATTGATCATGTAATAGGAAGTAAAACACTCCTCAGGAAATGCAAATGAATAAAAATCATAACAAACCATCTCTAGACCACAGCACAATCTAATTAGAAATCAAGACTAAGAAACTCACTCAAAACCATACAATTTCATGGAAATTGAATAAACTGTTCCTAAACTTCCAATCTTTTGAAATTCATAGAAACTTGTTTTAGCTTCAAGTATATTGACAATATGCTTGTCTCTCTTGGCAAAAATACTTTGGCAAATACTTTTGTCTCTCTTGGCAACAATATTTATAGAGAAACTTTTGTTTCATAGCAAAATTGAGAGAAAGAAACACAGATTTCCCATTTACCCACTTCCCTCATGCATGTTTACCTCTCTCATTACCAACTTCTGCGCCAGAGTAATACATTTTTTGCAATTTTGATTCACCTACATCGACAGACACATCAATATCACCATTGGTTACACTAGCATTTACTTTTGGTGTTATGCATTCTGTTGATTAGGGCAAATGTGTATCAACGGGTTTTTATCATTATAGTATTATGTGGATTACTTCCACTCCTATAAATGTGCTCAGTCTGTTTATCCTTTCCTTTTCCTAGCCGCTGGCAATAAGTTGTGTTTTTATTGACTCCATAGTTTTGCCTTTGCCAAAAGTAATATGGTTTCAATCACATTGTAAGTATCTTTTTCAGACTGGCTTCTTTCACATAGTAATATGAATTTAAGATTCCTCCTTTTCTATTCACTTCTTGATGGTTCATTTATTTTTAACATTAAATAATGTTTACTTGTCTGACTGAACCACAGTTTATCCATTTACCTACTGAGGGATATCTTGGTTTTTTCCAAGTTTTGAAAGAACTTTTCTTTCTAAAACATTTTTTAATCTAATTTTTTTCATTAATGTCAATTAGGCAAGGTCTTGACTGAGTTGTATTGATATTGGTCATTTTGTTTATTTTGGGGTATTGATATTGTCATTTTACTTTCTCTATCTTACTGAATTACTTGTCTAATTGTTTTTTCTCCATGTAAATGGAATTTTTGTTACTCAGTGCATATATAACAGCCTTATTATGTATGTCTCATGATTTTAACATTTTTAAATTATATAATGTCCTTTATAATCTCTGTTGATAGTCAATGTCTTGAAATCTAATTTATCAATATTGACATAGCCACTTCATTTTTCTTTTACCTACTTTTTTTTTTTTTAATTTTATGGGTACTCAGTAGGTATATATGTTTACAGGGTCCATGTGATATTTTGATGCAGCATACAAATGTGAAATTGTCTCATCAGGGTAACTGGGGTATCTATCAACTCATCATTTATCATTTCTTTTGTGTTAGCAACATTCCAATTCTCACTTTTTAGTTATTTAAAAATGTATAAAGGACTATATTATACATGGTTGACTTTAGCCACCGTGTTTTGCCATTGAAACACTAAATCATATATGTTCTTTCTAATTATATTCTTACAGGTCTTAACCATCCCCATTTTTTTCCTCTCCTCTGCACTACCCTTCGCAGCCTCTGCTAATTACCACTCTAAGTCAGATACACTGCGATTTTACAGACATGCAACTCATCATTTTTATGACTGCAGCTCAATGAGTCCTGAGAAATGTATGCAATTTTTTAATCACCACTACAATTAATATACATTTTATTCACTCCCTAAAGATTTTATCATTTCTCTTTGCAGTCAATTACTTTCCCTCACCTCCAGTCAATGACAATAATCTGAATTGGACTTCTGTAGCATAGAGTCTTTCAGAACATTGCATATGTGTGGATTCATACCAGATGTTTCCTTAGGTTTACAAGCCTTTATTTTGGACATATGATTTCCTCTCTTTTGGGTAAATAAGAGTAAAATAGTTGCATCATGTGGTGTGTGTATGGTTTTAAGAAAGTAGCAACCATTTTCCAGAGGGCTTATAATATTTTATAATCTCTGCAGCTGTGCATGAGATTTCTAGTACCTATATTTATGTTTCCCTAATGACTGATCATGTCGAGCAACTTTTTATGTGTTTATTTACCACCCACGTATCGTGTCTTTAAAATAGCTGTTAAAATATTTTGCCCAATTTTTTTAGGTTGTTTGTTGTTATATTATTGAGTTTTTAGTGTTCTTTATATATATATACACAAAATAAGGAAGAGTATATATTTGATACATGACTTGTGTGTGTGTGTATATATATATATATAGATATAGATATATAGAGGGTTGTATATATATATATATGTATATATATATATATACACACATATATACAACCCTCTATATATCTATAAAATCAAGTCATGTATCAAACATATATTTGTCCTTATTTTCTACCAGTAAGAGGCTTCTCATTTTCTGAAGTCTTCTTCAAATGACAGAAAATTTTTATTATTTTTCTCATACAGTTTTAAATTTTGAATCCTCCCTAAGAAATAATTGCCTAATATAAAATGACAAAAAAATTTTTTTACCCAGGTTCTCTTCTAGAAGTTTTATAGTTTTGGCTATAAATTATCTGTAATACATACTGAGCTAATTTACATATAATTTAAGGAAATAGTGGAGATTCATTAGAAATTTTTTTTTTTTTTAGACGGAGTTTCGCTCTTGTTACCCAGGCTGGAGAGCAATGGCGTGATCTCGGCTCACCGCAACCTCCGCCTCCTGGGTTCAAGCAATTCTCCTGCCTCAACCTCCTGAGTAGCTGGGACTACAGGCACGCGCCACCATGCCCAGCTAATGTTTTGTATTTTTAGTGGAGACGTGGTTTCACCATGTTGACCAGGATGCTCTCGATCTCTTGACCTCCTGATCCACCCGCCTCGGCCTCCCAAAGTGCTGGGATTACAGGCTTGAGCCACCGCACCTGGCTAGAAAAATATTTTAACATCTGTTTTTGCCACTGTTATCTCTAACATCTAGTTCATATCTAGCCTCTGTTAACATTTTTCTTTGTTAACAATGGGTCAATTATTTTTTTACTGTTCCTTGATTATATTCTAGATATTTTGCTGAAAATATTTAGAGACTGAAGTAAAAATTATTTTCTTAAGGAAAAGTCATGTCCCATTACTTTTCATCTAGCCAGTAAAGACAGTCAATCAAATGCTTACTCAAGTGAATCTAGGCTTTGTTATTTCCTCAGTTTGATTCAGTTCTCCATTAACTTTTGATATGTTGAAGGCAACATCAGGGCTTATTTGTCATAAGGGCATTAGATCTAAACACAGTGAAGGCTCTGGCATTTACTATATAATCTGCATCCAAGACATCAACTTTCCTACCTGTAGGAGAGCCCTCTGCTTTGCAATGTGGATACCAGGTTTTGTGGTTACTCCCAAGTTTTTGTTCTCTTCTGCCACCAATAGCCATTATATTCCTCAGAAGTTCGC